TCCGGGCAGGTTCGATCGAACGAACGTGTAAATGAGGTATGCGGGGAGGAACTTGTCAAAGATCGTCGCGCGATGAATCGGTTGCTCGATAAAACGCAAAAGCAATGTTCCCTTTCCTCTTAGATATTCGTGCATTGGAAACGGACGGTCGTAACGTGAGAGAGGACACGGACAAAGCATCAACGTAAAGAGAAATCGACGAGGATCTCGCCTCGATAACGTTGCGATTACGTGGTATCGAACGTATCGAACGTATCGAACGCGTCGTCGTCGACGAGACTTCGCGAATTCGACTTCGACAAAGCAAAAGGGAAACAACTGTGTGTTTTACACGCAAAGGTCGCATGTAAACGATAGGCCCCGCGAGCGTCGGACCGGTTCGAAATAACGGAAGCGTGCGGTACACACATTCAAAGAAATCAGATAAAAGAAATCGTATGTAAAAGTAAGTCACCACCGATGTTGTTTTGGAACTTAATAACTTAATGTATTTTTACTCTCCTTTCTCCTCCTGCGTTCTTCCCTTCGTATAATAATATCGTACTTGCTAGACAATGTGAAATTTAATTTAATGACAACTGGATATAATGTAGTTAGTTTCATGCGTGCTTTTTCCCTTTGTCTTCGTTTCTTCTTAAACGTCTGTTTTCTTTTTAGCAATATTTTAGATGAACGCTGTTCTAGCGAGTGCTCGCGGACCCTACGGAGCCCTCCCGCTGCTGTCCGCGCTTCGAGGAAACCACGCGACGCTGAGGAAGAGAGGCACTCTCTCTGTCGTGACAAGACGCGACAAGACGCGACAAGACGCGACAAGACAAGATCACAAAACAAGACCAAGGAAAAACAAGACAGGTTTGCGCTTCCGAGGGTGCGCACCGTTAACGGTGGACCGAACCGACGCGCTGCACCTCTACGCTCTACACCGTTTCCCACGGAAACTCTTCCTCTCGTCTTTCTCGCATCTTTCGCGTATTTTCCGTTGAACGCGCGTCACCGACGCACGCGTCGTCCGTAGCGGCATTTCGGCTTCCTCTCGCGACGATGGAGGCGTCACGGCGATCGGACGACCGTCATGGCCGTCTCTTCGGCACCGCGTGGCTTTCCCGACAACGCACAGGCGCGCGCGACGCGCGCCATACGCGGAACGAACAGTTGGAAGAGGAAGCAGCCGGCACGGGAGAGGCTCCGTCGACGGGGAACGCTGTTTTAGATGGTAAATAGTGAGCAGATCTGGGAGTGACAGTGGTGTTTCGCGTTATATTCTTCGCATCCCGTGTCTCGTACTAACAGCGGCGGCATCGAACGAACACTACGCATATTTTCCTTCGACTTCTCCGTCTCTTCGTTTTTCTTATAGTCTCCGTAATTATTACTCGCCTTTAGTTGCTCTATATCTAACGTTTCCGAACGAAGTCGTACGACGAGACAAAGTTTGCGAAATAATACTCTTCCTGTCCTTTCCTCTGTTCATCCACAATTTGCTCCTTCCTCGTTCTTCCGTACAAACACGAGTCGAGACTGTTTTCTTTTTTTCTTTTTTCTCGGAGAAATTTCATGCTGGAAATCGGACGATTCTCGCGACTCGACCGTTTCCCTTCGTCGAGGATCGTACGTGTGATTAGAAACGGTGTTGTGCGCGACGCATCGCTGAGACAGTAGCTTCGGAAGATTCGTTCGTTATTCTCACTCTTCTCTCTTTCCTCCTCTCCCCGGCAGACACGCATACACATTCACGCTCGCACTCGCGCGCACACGACACGGAACATACGCTTCCTCTCTCTCTCTCTCTCTCTCTCTTTCTCTTTCTCTCTTCTTTCCATTCTTTCTTCCTTCCTTCCTTTCTTTCTTTCTTTCTGATGTAGGGTGCATACCGCGCGACGAACGCGACGCAACTCGGTTCCATCCTCCAGGAGAGAATACGGTCGAGAACGCGGGATTCTCCTGTTCGAGCTTTCGAACCGGGCGAAACAGCTGTGGCGGTGGCATCAGCGGTGTGCGGTCGCGTTAGGACACAAATGTCGATTGATTTTCGAGGAGGAGATCAAGGAAAAAGGAATTCTCGGCTGATGGTCTTCCGACTGTGACGAGAAGAAAGGTGGGAAGGGAAATTGGAGGATGAACAGGTAGGTAGGTAAGTAGGTAAGAAGGTAGGTGGAGGTATGGGTAGGTAGACAAGTAATAGAGGAAGGGAAGAGGAGGTCGATCGATGAAAAGGGGCCGAGGGAAATGAAAAGGGAGTACGAAGATGGGAAGGAAAATGGCAGGAAGGACAGGCGATGGAAGGAACAAGAGGAAACGAGGTACGCGAAGGACGAAAGGACAGGTAAATGGACAAATCGATCTCAGGTGGATGGACTGGTGAGCACTTCGAGGGACGGGGGGACGATAGAGAATAGGATGTTCTTATTAGGTTTAGAAAGGACTTAAGCTTAGGAAGGTTAGTTGTCGCCACCCTCCTGTTGTTCGTCCGGCTCACCCTGCGTGTCACTGGTCCAAAGGGTGAGGTTGTCACGCAGAAGTTGCATGATGAGAGTGGAATCTTTGTAGCTGTCTTCGTTAAGTGTGTCCAACTCCGCGATCGCGTCATCGAACGCCTGCAAAGTTCCAAGAAAATCTCATTACCGTAAGGAATCGCAGCTTCTTTGTTCATTCCGTTGATTCCCATTCGAAAACGGCGTGCTTTACTAACTCGACGCGACTCGCCTCGACTCGCCTCGCCTCGCCTCGCCTCGCCTCGTCTCGTCTCGCCTCGACGCGACGCTGCGCGACGGGTCGAGGTAAAAGACGAGGCGTATCAACTTCATGCAGAAGGCGAAAAGAGAAATTTGCATCTCGTATGAAAGCGAGTCACGCGCGCGTATCGCGAATTAATATGAAAATGGTAGCGATGCAAGAGGAATGGTTATAAATACAGTGGAGGCATTATTGTAATCACACCACGCAACAAACATTAATTACTTGCTAAGTTAGTCGGATCTTACACACACTCGTCGTACAGGATGAATCGACTCGCCGCGACGACTGTTAATCGCCGTTGCGCGCAGGTTTGGTTACGGTTTTCGAAAAATTCATACAAACAAAATGGGGGGAAAAAAACAGAGAAAGAGAGAGACAAATTATTAAGAAAAAAAAGAAGAAGAAAAAGAAGAACAAACGTTAAACCTTCGCGAATCGAACTCTAACCTGTTTGGCCAGGTGACAAGCTCTAGCCGGAGAATTAATAATTTCATAGTAAAAAACGGAGAAATTCAGAGCAAGACCGAGCCTGATTGGGTGCGTTGGCTGCATTTTCGACTTTGCTATGTCGAAAGCTTCTTGGTACGCCTTCTGCGAGTCCTCGACAACCGCTGCAATGCAAACGGATAATTCAAATGAAACTTTCCCCGAATTTCGATCGTTAGTCGATGGTTTCCTGGGTATCGTTCTCCCGTGTACCCCTATTAACGAGAGAAACCGAGTAAAATCGCACGTTTTTGCCTCCACTGCACCAGAGTGTATCGCCACTCTACCGCCACCAACCATTATCTCACCACCAGCATCGCCATCATTATCATAGATCGGTTTGCATCCTCCCGGGAGCAATCGTCATCGATCCTGTACTGTAAATTATACCTGTTTTGCTAGCTGACAGGCCTTGTCTGGTGAGTTGAGGATCTCGTAATAGAAAACGGAGAAGTTGAGGGCGAGACCTAGCCTGATCGGATGGGTAGGCTGCATCTTTGACTTGCTGATTTCAAACGCATCCTGGTATGCCTTCTGGCTGTCGTCTACCACAGCTGTATATGCGTAGACGTCACGTGGAAAATTATCAGCGGATCATTAATGAATCTTCGAAAGGTGGTTTCAACGAGAAGGGGAACCCCGTGGCGCGCGCGATCCGATCCCAGTTTCTCGTTTCTCGAATTTTCGTTGGGCCGTTAAACGATGGGATCCAAAGCTATTCGGGTGAAACGTATAACGGGTATTCGAAACGCGCGACGAGCAACACGGAACCATTGAAATCCGTCTAAATCTAACGATGCGGCCGACACCATGGGCCGAGAACATCTGCCGCGTTGCTGCAGCTGTTCTTCCGTCACGAGGTAGATGCACAGGCACGGTAGAAACATTGTGCGGCTTTCCATTCGAAAAAAGAAGCGCATCGACCTCGTACAAAAGCTTTGAAATACAGGTAAACGCGCGTCTTCCGCGTCGGAAAACTTCAAAGGACGTTGAAAATAGCGAATCGTCCGAAGGACATTGCATTGAACGAACCAAAATTGAAAAAAACGCGACGGGGAAAGAGAGACAGAGATCGATTATGGGCACGTTGGAAATACAAGTGAGAACGTCTGTTAAAAAGAAAATGCGCGTACCGTGTCTTGTTTCTCCGGTGGCGACTTCTGCGAGATACCTGTAGTAGTCGCCCTTCATCTTGAGGTAGAATACTTTGCTCTCGGCATTGCTAGCCTTAGGGATCAGGTACTTATCGAGGAGTCCCTGTAACATCAACGATCAGATTAAAAGTTGACCCGTGGTTATCGCGCGACGGGGAACCTAGGGAAGATAGTGAAGATAGGGAAGATAGGACAACTGGAACGCGATCGCGTATTCGGGATAAATCGAAAGAACGCGTTCGCTGGCCGAAACGAGAGAGAGAGAAGGGAAAGCAAGCGCGCGCGTAAGACGAGCCGGTAAAGCGCTCGTAATCGACCCGCGTGAAATTCAAGTCGGAGGGTGATCTCCGCCTTCCAGCTCTCGGAATATGCGAACGCGACAAAGAGGATCGTAGGTTAGGTGGTAAGACGAGCCAAACGGCACCGCGCGATCCCGTGCAGCGACTCGTCTCGGGTCGACTAGGAGCACCCAAAGCACCACGGGAGCCGAGAGAGCCGTGTTTCCGATACAACTTTGCCGGAAACCGTATACTCTGCGGAGAATTCCTCCGAATCGAAAACGGAGCCCCCGATTGTAATGGGCGCGGCTGCCGGCGAGGGTGCGGTTGCGTATTCGGTTGCGGGTGCGGGTGCGGACGGAAAAAGGCATTCTTACCAACACGTCGTAACAGATCTCGCGCAGCTCCTTTTCAACCTTTTCTCGATATTCCTTTGCCATCTGCTGTTTACGCTCGGAACCCTCGGTCTTTTGCTCGATGGAGGAGATTACTCGCCACGAGCTACGTCTCGCGCCAACGACATTCTTGTACGCTACCGACAGCAGATTCCTCTCCTCGTTCGACAACTCGACGCCTGTTTCGGTAACCGCCTTCATCGCGGCTGCCATGTCGTCGTACCTTTCCGCCTGTTCGGCGAGCTTCGCGCGCTGTACCAATTCCTCCTTGTCCACGGACATTGTGTTAGCTGGAAACAAGAAAGCATCGCAAACGCGCATGTAACGACACACCGTTGGCTTCGAGCGTTCTCGCCGGGACGGAATTCCTCGAGTACAAAACACGCTCGCGACCTCGTCGTCGGTCTCGTCGAGTCGCTACTTCTTTTCCCGCGTCCGCGCGTTCGCGAATCGCGCGTCGGAATAGATTTCTCCGACGCGTTTAGAACGGGATGACGTAGCGGCACGCGCTCGTCGCGTCGAACGAGGCCAGTCGCCGATACGTTTGTCGAAAAGAGAATATCCGTTCGAACGGAGCAAGCGCGCGCGCAAGCGATTCGCTCGTTACGAACGAAAGAAAGGGAAAGGGAAAGCAACCAGCAACGGTGCATCGACTCGATGAAATATCGCTGGCCGAATTCGAGGCGCCTCTCGGGAACGTCGTCGGGTCGTCGAACCGTCTGCTCGTTTTCCTTCCGAGCTTTCGAGAACGTCGAGATTCGACGGAATCTCGTGGAACAGAGGCGCGAGAGAGAGAGACGGGAGAGAGACGGGAGAGACCGCGGTCGTTTTTACGTTCCCGGCCCCGTAACGCGATTCTCTCGCGGTGAGTCACCGGTCGGCCATCGGCTAGGCGTACGCGCGAGCACGGTAACGCGCCGCCGCTCCTTCCAACCGAACCTCGCGCGACGCGTGCTTTTCATTCAGAATGCTCTCGAGGTTTCCGGCTGCGAACCGAACCGAACCGAACCGAACCGAACCGAAAATTTCAATAATTTCGACAATTTCGAGAAGCCATGCCTGCGGCGCGCACGGTTCCGCTCGATCGAACGAGAGTTCCGCGACACGCCGCGTTTCTAAAATTATCCGAATTTTCCAGCGACCGAGAAAGATTGCGCGCGCGTCACTGCACCGTTCTCTCGTCGGCACGGCCCGCAACGGCGACGGAGGAAACAATAGCCGAGGCGCGTGTCGCGTGTCGCGTATCGCGTATCGATCGAACGCCAATTCCACGGTGAATCGGACGTAGCGCGAAAAAGAGGTTGATATTTCTGAACGCGAACTATGCCGGCCAGGCTCGGAACGCCGGGCGGTCGGGACGCGCGATCGATACCCGTACCTCCCGGTTCTTCGTTTTTCCTCGTTTTTCCAACGAGTCCGCGTTGCCAACGTCACGGCGTCGTTCTCCAGCGAGCAACGATTAACCGCGAAACGAAGGCGAATCGTTAGCGGCGCTGTCACCGCGCGGAGAGCAACATCGACCCGCCTGTGCGGTGCGTTCGGACGGCCGGTAGTTTCCTCGTGGAAACGACCGGCCGTTTCCGCTCCATTCCCGCATGCCGCTTTTACTCCGATTCCGCGCGATCGCGGCCTACCGTAGATCGATCCTAGAACCTCCGTTGGAATCGTCGAACGCAGCGTGCACGTCCGCGAGTGACGGGCACGCGCCGGCCATTGCGCGGAAACAGAAGCAGCAGCGGTAACGGTAGACGTAGACGCGGAGGTCGCAGGGCCGGACAAACGGAAGGATGGATTTCTGCGCCGAGAGAAACCCGGACAGAAATATTAAACCGGTAGGTGTATTCGACGTCCTATATTTAATCGCGCGATCACCTGGCTTTGGGTTAGCAAACGGCCGGTGACGACAGCGTTGCCGGATCTACGAGGACCGAGGAGTACGAGACACCGCGTTGCTGCTCAAATATTTCCGGCGTAGACTTTTCGAGCGAATCGCGAATGGAACGCGAGTCCTTGCTAGCGGTTCGCCTCGACTTTCCGTTTACGGAAAGCGGCGGCGGGTTCGCGCGACATTCTCGCGACATTCTCGCGACATTCTCGAGACACGGCGAAATACGCCGCGAAACGGACGAGGCGAGGCGAGCGTCGAAATCGTTGCGGCGCGAATACCTATGATTCAACGTCTTCCGCGGAATCTCGAGTTGGCCCACGCGCCAAGTTCACCGACGGAAACCGTGCAAACAAAATGCTGGCTGTTACCGGTTACCATCGGAACAGAAGCTGACCGCTGCTCGCCGACGTCTGGTCGGAAGGAGAGTGCGGCGAACACGCGAGCTTTATCGAGCGGCTTTCGTTTATCCGTGTCGGTGTCGCGTCACGCGTTGCGTTCTCGATAAATCACGGTTCGATGACTCGAGGCGCGCATCCTCCGCGATACGATCGCGGTCGATCGATACCTCGTCGCGCACCGAACGAACGAACGATCGATGAAAATCAATCTCGACGGGCGGAAATCGCACCGCGAGCTCGCAGCTTCGACTCGGCGAGATTTATTTCGACGACGCACGCGCGTCGCTGGATTTCCAACGAGAAGCGAGAAATTCCGGCGAGCCCGTTTCGTCGGCACGACGATGGTTACGCGCGAATCGATCGGCAAACGGTTTGAGGTTATGATCGATGCAATCGCAGCTACGATTCGAGAGGTAGGTAGTCGGACGGAGCGCCACGGCGCTACTTTCACGAAGCGAGAGCGAAATTCCTCGTCTATGGCTCCGTCTCTCGCCGTCTCGCCGTCCCTCTCGCTCCTTCTCTCTCCTTCTCTCGGGCAACACGCCCCGTCCTCGAGCTACTCGATTCCGTGGCGCACGATACGCACTAGAATCGAGAGAGAGAAGACGAGAGGAGAGAGAGAGAAAGAGAAAGAGAGAGACAGAGAGAAGAGGAAAGGAGAGCAAAGAGGAGACGAGAGGCGAGCCGAGATGGACAAAGAAAGCGACGCGACGAATCGGTTCTGCTTCCGACAAAATTAGTCGGCGTCATCGCGAAAACCGCGCTCCGAATCTCTCTCGTTCTGCGTCGTAGTCACGCGATGCCGCAGAATCGAACGCTTCGCGAGACACGCGATCGGTCGGAAGTAGCGTGGCAGCGCGGTACCTTCTGGCGCGTTCTCGAAGAATCTCTGGTTCGGAAATAGGATAATGCGTAGCAGCGCGATGCGTCAATCAAACAGCCGCGAGAACGGACGTGCGTGCGGCGACGGACACGTAATGGAACGAGAATCGAGCGAGCCGTGAGATTTCGCGTATCGAACCAGTAGTACACCCAGAAGCCGAGGCGAGTCGAAACGAGACGAGACGAGGCGAGACGAGGCGAGACGAGACGAGACGACGGAGGCGCGGCGGGGCGAGGCGAGAAAGTAAAGTGTAATGCGGAGCAACGTAACGTCGCTATCTTACCTATAGATAAAGTCTTTTGTACAATAAATACTTAAATAAATAGACGGTCGGCGTATTCCGTAGAGTTGCGCGCGGTAACAGGAGGGGTCCGAAAACTGACTAGACTCTCGGTATTGCTAGTTCCTTTTTGTCCGGGGGGTAAAGAGCGAGAGCGTATTACGCGGAGAAACTACGCCGGGTCTTTTTCCTCAATCACACTCGGTTACGATACCACACATCCCTCGGTGACCACTCCCGCACAGCGACTGAGCCGGCAACGCTGCTGATGGTGGGGACTCGGCGTGCCTCGTGCAGGGACTCGGTCGCGCTCGTCTCGACTCGAGCCCCCTCGGCTCTCCCCGGTCGGGTTCGGGGCCGAGCCGAGGTATTGATCGGCTCGCCCAGCATGGCCGGCTCGGTGAGGTTGGGTGGGGCAGCGGTACGCGACTGTCCCGGGACACCAAACAGACATGGAACTCGATGCGCCGATCCGCATCGCGACGCGACGCGACGCGCCGCCGCCGAGCCGATTCGCGCCGATCGCTGTCCGATCGCTGTCCGATCGCGACGCCTCGTCTTCCATCTCTTATTTCCTATCTCTAGGCTATTCTACGCTTTCTCGAATTCGATGCGATTCCTTTTCCCGCTATCGCTATTCCGGTCCCTCCTCCTCTATCCTCTTCCTTCCGGCGCCTCTCGCTTCGAATCGTCATTCTATCCTGAATCATTTCGCGGTTATCGAACGTTACGCAACCGAGCAAACGAAACGAGCGAATGAATATTCTTTCCCTTTTCGCTAACCGACACCTGCTCGAACGAACCGGCGTTCGAGAGACACCGAACGGTCGTTTCTACCTCGACGCTCGGTGTGTCGCGGTGCGGGGAAATCGCACGGGACAATGAACAGCGGTCGAACGCGCGAAATGAAATTGTCAACGTGACGCGCCGACACATGTGCCCGACACGTGACATCCCGGTTTGCACCCGCAAAAATCTTCGAAACGAACAAACGAACCAGCACCGTTGCGAGACGGAGAAGACGCGAGTCGCGAGGGAACAAAGAAGCCAGGGGGGACTCTTTCGAGTTGTCGCGTCTCGCCGCGGCATCCTCGTGGCCTAATCCGCTCGCTAAGAATTCCGTGCGATCGAAGAAAGAGCCGCTCGGCAACCCACGTTCCGCGTTTCTCCATCGATTCCTGCCGGAAATCCTCCGTCGTTCGGTTCTCGCGCGGATGTAACCGTTACCCGGCGAAACGTTCGCCTTTTCTGCATCAGCGGGTAATACCTTACAACGAGAAGGTGCCAGCCTGACCCTTGGCTAATCGTTCTCGACCGTTTCCACGAAACACCGAAATCGAGACTCGAGGCGGAAGGTTCGAGTATCTTGAGATCTGAAACCGCTTTAATAAATGACCGAAGGGGGAGAGAACGAAAGAAAGATACAAGGTAAATCGAAGAAGCAATTATACCAGCTACAATAGTGGAATCGAGAAGACGAGCGCAGAAGTAGTAGGGGTTAGCTGGTGAGGTTCAAATGAAATATTGATCTGCGGAGGCGCGCGCAACCCCTGCAACCGACCCGCCCTTCCTTCTTCCTTCTTCCTTCGCCGCCATTTTCCGCCACGTATTTTCCCCGACTCTCTCTCTCTCTCTCTTCTGCTCTTGTTCTTGTTCTCTAATACACGCACACGCTCGTATCGGCCGGGAAACGTTTTTAAAATATCTCTCTCCGCACGAACGATTCCACGGATCTCGTTTTGTCCGCTGAAATCGCGAGGAAACGTTGCGCCCTTCCTAATAAACAGGGAACGAAGCTCCATCGCATTGCTGGTCGAAAAAGAATAAGAGCAATTGCTCGGATCGATTGGCGAATACTTGTCCCAGTTGCGCCGATAACGGGAGCCAGACGACGACACCGAATTTCGTTCGTCCCTGAAGCTAATGGCGAGAATTCTATACGCGGGCATCGTAAATCGATATGGAAGAATGTCGAGCAACGAGCGCGTCGAGTCGTCGGCTCGGTCGAGAGGGACGTCTCGTTGCACGCGTGTTCCCACCGATAGAAGTTTCCGCAGCGCATCGCGTTCGAATCGATTCAACGATAACGCGCTCGATACGAGCTACGAAGTTCCATCGGTGTCGCAGGAAATCGGTGGAACTGCTTTTGGAAGCGAATCTCCTTGCCGATCGAAATCGCGTCGCTTCGGAAAGTTTGCTCCAAGATTCGGAAAGCTGACGGCATTCGAGCCGCGAATAGATCGAGTCACCGGACGCGGTGATTCAACGATATTCGACGGTCCGCTCGAAAAGGAGTTTGTACGCTAGGTTAGTAACGCGTAGATCAATATTAGCCCGCGGTTCGCGCGTCACAGTTCCGCCTCGCTGCTATAGAACGCCGTTTATTCTCATTTTGTAGCTGACAAACAGGTTGCGAGCTACAAAAGGCAAGCGCGACGGAGCAGCGGTAGCATCTACTCGGAAGAAACGTCTACGTGGTGAGTACGCGGCGGCTACGTGGCCGCGTCGCCTCGCGTCGCCTCGCGTCGCCTCGCGTCGCGCCCCGCCTCGCCGAGCCGGTGACTCGATTCGCCTATCAACTCGATAAAACGACACGTGGTTCGCTTCGAAACCTTATCGGCGAACAATAACGACGCTGCTTTCCCTTGAAACTTCAAATTTCGTTCGGGCCCGCCAACGTACCGGAAACGGAGGCACGCGAGCACGATCGGGAACAGTTGGACTGTTCACGATTAGTCGCGACCGAACGAGTTTCCGCGGAGCGCCTGTGGAAACCGATAAGGGTCGGTCGAGGGCGAGCTGCGATTCAGCGGCCGGTCTCGCGCGACCTGCCAATTTCAATTTCAATACGTATCTTCCCTCGAATGCCTCCAATAAAAAACGGAGAACAGAGAAAGACGAACGACCGCGTACCATCGAACCGACAGCGAGGAAGCGTAACAATTACGACACTGACCTTGCTCGCACAGCGCGCCGAGACGAGGCGAGGTGCGGCAAGGGGCACCGAGTAACGTTCAAGCGTTTCCCAACCTCTGAAACGAAGCGAAACGGAACAGAACGGAACGGAGCGTATTCAAGGATACTTCGTTATTAATTTTCGATAGTTTGCTCGATCGAAACGGAGCACCGCGCGAGCGCGAGCAGTTTCGAGAGACGGCCGCGTCGCCGGGAATGGCCGAGAATGGCGATTCCGCTTCCGATTCCGAGAGAGCGCGATCGAGAAAAGCCTGGACGAAAGAGTTAAGGCGATACGGGAAGCGTGTCGACGTCGATTAGGTTCGCCGGGACCGAGTCTCGAGCGAGTATCGATCACGACTCGCGACCGATTCGGTTCCTCCTCGCAGACCCATAGTCGCTGGTAGAGCCCCGCTTGTTCCGTAGTTGCTCGAAAACATCGATAACATCGAAAACGTCGAATCGCGTCGATCGCCGTTGAGTTATTCATCGGCACGGTCAGGTGCGGCGCAGGTGGTGCGCGTCTACGCGACCGTTTGCGCGACGATCGAATCCGTTGCTCGAAAAGCCGCGAGCCCACCTTTTCCCCGATTCTCCTCGTTTCCCGTTTCCCGTTTTCCGTTTTTTATTTTCCGCGAGAAACGAGTGCTCGAGCATCCGAGGCGGATCGATGAGGGGACTCGAGACGACGGAGGGAACTAGATTCTCCGTAAAACTGTAACGATCCTCGCTACAAAGGCGGAACGCGTTCCACAGGTGGCAGCGTAGAGGTGTCGTTACGTAGATATTACGCGAGCGTTACGTGGGTCGTGGTTCATGGCCCTCTCGTCGTCCCGACGAGCGTCCTCCGCCCGAGGTGTCCACCGCGAACCGATTCCCGAGGCGAGTTTTTTTAGCGCGCCGTTGACCAAACATCGGCAACTGGTCGAACGCGAACGCGGTGATCTAACGCACGGCAGAGCGCGACTCGACGCAAATGCCATTCACTCGGCTCGTCCAATAAACTTTACCGTTACCACCTACCTATGTTTTCATTCACCTACGAAGAAATCCTACGCTAGCTGTCTCGGAATCGCACCGAGAGCGAGAGAGAGAGAGAGGGAGAGGATCAGAAGTGGGGTCTATCTCGACTCGATCCGCTCCGTTCGGCGCTACCCAACGGCCGATGCGTGGGCGGTTAGACGGTTCGTTTCTGTCGAACGTTCGTTTATTTCGCGCAGCAGATGGGTTGTCGCCGCGAGAAGGGGTGAAACGGACGGAGAGAGACGGGGGTTCGGCTTGGATTCCTCGAGCATCGGTCGCGACCGAGGAACGCGCCTCTATTTCTCGGTGGCGAAACAAGACGAAACGAAAGCTCGGCAAGGGTGCGTTTCACGGTTCCGAGGTCTCGAGGCTCTCTCGCGACGTTCGTGCCTACCGGCAAAAAGTTGCACGCGAGAAGTATATTTACGTTACGGGCGTGCACACACCGAGACGCGTTTGTACACGGAATCGCGCGAGCGAGTCGAGTTTGTGCGTCAGCCGTCTTGGAATAGCGGCTGATGTCAAGCTGCCTGGTT